ATCTCCTCTGACATTCCTATGAGGATTATTTTTAGGACAGAGAATGTGGAAATATTGCATGATTATTCTGTAGCTGACATTAAGATGGTTCTTGGTTATTACCAAACTTTTTGAATTGTGCATTTTTGTGTTGATGCTGTGATGTAGCGCGTAATGTATTCTAAGGTGTGATTTCTGTTTCCCAGGTAAAGGCGTGCAGATGCAGAGGGATGTCCAGTGTTGTATGCTCTACTCCCAGGGTAAGGTGCGTACCAAAGATGTGCTGCGGTTTGAGGTGCAGACGGAGGGGCCCGACTGCAGCATACAAGCCATCATGCAAGTATTTCAGCTATCCACTCCTGGAGCTTAAGAGCACAGAGCAATTTGGAGGCATGGAAAAAATGCCTCTCATTAGCATAGGACCAGGGCTGCATGGCCCGAGAGGCATTGTCTTCTTTCCAGGTCAAATTGTTATGGCAGAGCTGCTTGCTGTGTTTGCCAGGGAAGTAAAAGAGGAAATATGTGGGAATAACAAGCCGTCAGAAAATACCTTTCAGGCGAGCTGAGCCCCGTAGCATTTAGTCACTCACTCAGAACAGCAGGGTTTAGTTAAGTAAACGACACTGTGATACCGATCGCTGCCAGCAGTTCACAGAAATCCGAGGTAGCAAGAGAGTTTGCTTTTGCACACGATCCAGTTAACACAAACACAGAAGTCTTCTCACACACAAAATATTTTTACAGCACCTTGTGAAAGTTTTCATACCCCTCGTTTTTTTCAATGTACTTCATTGAGATTTTAAATGACGTTCAAATACTCAAGCAGTGAGTGACTGAGAAGAAGGGCTGTATTTCTTCCCCAACATGTCCATGGCGATTATTGGGGAGCTGCAGAGATTCACAGCTCAGGTGGGAGAATCTGACAAACACAAACACTCTTCAAGTTTGTCCCGTTATGGAGTGGAAAGACAAAAGTGTTGATTGAACAATATAAGAAGTCTTACTGGCCACAAACCACCTGGAAGACACATCAAGCATGTGGAAGACTGTGCTCTGCTTAGATCAGACCAAAATCAGACTTTTTGGCCAATATGCAGAATGTGTTAAAAAAAAAAAAAAAAATCCTGAACAAACCCTTCACATGGCGGTGGCTGCATCATGCTGCGTAGATACTTCTCTTTTGCAGAGAAGCTGGTCAGTAGGTGAGTTGTTGAATACTAGAAAACTTATTACCTACAAAAATCTTGAGGTTTGGATGTAGATTGCTTTTCACAGAGGGTCTTCACGCAAAAATTGAACAAAAATCAAAGTCTTTAGATGTGAAAAAGTGGTAGAGATAAAACCAAATTGACTTGCAGCTACAGGTGTGGCAAAAGATGATTTGACAAAGTATTATGAAGCAATCAATGGAAGATTTGTATTTGTAAAAAAAAATCATCTCTTTCACAATTGCGCTGTAGTCTGTGCTAGCCTTTCTCAACAATGCCAATAAATCACTCTGATGCCTGTGGCTTTAAAGTGATCAAAGTGATGATATGAACATTTTTAATTTACCAACTCATGACTTTCATCATTTTGTTCCCAGGTCCAATCGTGTTTGTTCTTTAATACTTCACAAACGGATTTCTGATCTTGCATCTTTCAAATTTGTTTGAAATCTGTTGTATTATGTCGATCCAAACGAGACATTCTGCTCTGTCTTTCTCTAGACTTTACACAAAGAAGGCAGTGAAATGTGCGGACCCCAGAGATCGTAAGGTGAAGAGGTTGTTGAGGAAGCTTCTGCAGAGACAGAGGCTCAAGAACCACAGAACAATGTGGCTGCCTCCTCGCGACAACCTGCCCGCCATGTCAGAGGTCAGGTTTAAACCTCCTTGCAGCTGCTTTTACTCTCTAACCTCGTCTTTCACCAGAGCCTTACTATCCTCCCTATGCATTCAGCTGTAGTTGAATGCAGGCCTCCTTATGTTTTAAGGCAAAATCTGTTTGTAAAAGCACAATAAGCAGTGGAGATCTGTAAGTTACAGTTGAATGTGTGTATGCCTATTTGGCATGGTTCAGTGTGAGATTCTCACCTGAAGTAAAAATACCACAATTTCAGTTTCAAATGTCACGTTTTTAAAAGCAAATTTAAAACAAAATGAAAAAGGTGAAACAGAAAACCAACGATTACTTGTGCTGCTGTAAGATAAAAAGTACCCCAGCCCCCAGTGTCTGCAGGTTTGGGACACATTCACTCTGAAAGTCTGACATAGTTTCAAGAGAACAAAGTGAGATAAACTTTGATTATACCAAATTTTGAACACACAGTACCTGAGTCTGTCTCTCTGTCATAGTGACACGGTACAACATCTGATCCTTATCTCGGTTGCGCTCTCGTCCAGTAATGGTGGAATAACGAGAGTTATGGATTTTGAAATCTTCCACTCGCGTGCTTTTATTTTGAAGGCGCAACACAGCGCCCTGAACGCAGCACTTCCTGCTTTCCTGTCTCTACTGATGTAGAGTTGTTCAAGAAGCACAGAGCTTGTTTTATAGACTTTTTTTTTGTTGGACAAACTGTTGTATTGTGATTAAAATTGCTGAATTCTGTTTTACTGTCTGTTTTTTACGTAAGGTTTTAGAAAGAGGCAGAACCACTTCAACTGCCAGTCAACATATGTAAATGAATTTTTGAATGAATGAATCTAAAGGTTAGGGTGATGGCGGGAATGCATCTCAACATTAAAAGTTTAAAGCTCATCCCGAAAGATTAAATGCCACAAATGCCAATGCAAAAAGTTAGTCAGCAAGGATAAAAATCCCTTCATTGCTCTAATTATTTATGGAGAATGGTAAAAATAATTTGACATGTTGATTTTTGTTTAAATTAAACCAGTATTTCTTCTGACACAATGTATTTTTTTATTTTTATTTTTTGCTTTTTGGAGCACATCTATCTGATTTCCAGTGTGATAAATCTTTCGTGGTCGAATGAAAATATTTCTTGGGTATGAATACGTTTTGATTCCTCCGTTTTGATTCTTATATATCCGCTCACCTGTTACATTGTTTTCACTATTGTGATCAGGACAAAAAAGACAACTGGGCAATTCTGAATGTGGAGTGATGAAGCACCATCAACAGTGGAGTTAGTCGTAGTCATACGTAAGGCTTCTCTAAGTTGAATAAAGTTTTACTGAATATAGTTTGAAGCTCATATTATATTAACGACTAATCCAAAATCTTTTAAATTCTCTTCTTACTTTGCAGGCCAAGTAATCATTCAGCAGCTCGTCGGCTTTAATCTGCGACGCTCGCTGACGTTCCAGTCATCTTGTGTCTCTCTATCCGTCTCCTTGGGACCAGACCTGGGCAGCAATACTTATTTAAATGGTATAATAAAATATTCCCAGTATGTGACAGGGAGCGTATTATTGTAAAATAAGTTGCAGTGATTTTTATTTAATGGCTTATACTGTTATTTGCCGGAGTCTGCCTGAAAGTACCGCCCTCTGAAATAGTGTAAACACTTGTGGCTGATTGACAGCGTTGACATTCATATATTATATCTGCAATATACTCTGTGCTTATTTGTGACTCGTACTGCGTAAATAATGTAACGATGTAGTTGGGGTTTTGTCAAAATCAGCTGAGTGTGCAGAAATTTGAAAAAACATGTTTTTAATATTAAGTTGCACTTTCCTCTTTGGCTTTTTGTTGACATATTTGTACTGAGGCTTACAGGTCTGTGTTGAGACCAGCATGGGAAAAAAAATCACAAGGTGATGATTTCCATGGGCTTTAACATACTTTTTAACACATTTTGTCTACTTTGTATATTGACTGTAAAATATAAATAGATCTTTTGGATTTTGACCCACCGGTATCAACAAATCATCAGATTTAACTTGACCTAAGTTTACTTTTGTCTTTTTGATTAGTAGTTTGACATTGAACTATGCCAAAGCACTCATGAGTCAATTCATTAAATGACAAGGCTGTTAAAACTTAGAGGGCTGTCCTGTGTGTAAATCACACAAGCGTTGTAACGTAGAGGAATGCACTGTATCTCAAGTGAATTATTTTATAAATTAATCTGAAACATTGACGACAACTGGTTTGGTGCATTTTGTTGGGGCTGGGTGGTCTTGTGTAGAGATTATACAGTGTTCAGGTTTGTTGTGAAGGTGGCAAGAAAAGCAGAACAGGCGCGTGTCACTGAATAAAAATATAATTCATAGCAACGTAGCTCGAGGCAGAAAAACACAATCCAAAAATCAGGGAGTGAAGCAATAACAGGTTAAATTGAAAGAACACAAGCATGTTGACAGAAGGAGAATAAAAGTGTAAAAAACAAAAAAGAGTACAAAAACAATCATGGAAAGCAGAAGGATCTCATGTTTAAGTAGAGATACAGGAGATTGATATGTCTGGTGGGTGATTATTGAAACCAGAACAGGTGAGAGCAATTAACTGGGTGGAAACATCTGGGATGAAGGAGGTGAGGAAAGTTTCACAAACTGTACGTCATTCAGTGCCATTTCTGAAACTGGGTGGCCTGGACAAATCATATAAAAACTTTGTGACAAATAGTAATGTTAAGGAAGTAGTCTGAATCTAAACCAAAGTAAGAAAAAACAAAACATTTGTCATCCAGAAATGATAAATTTTATCCTTTGAAACATGAAATAAAGAACATGTTTCAGAAAACCAGGCAGCCGACTTACTCTTGTATTCTTATTTCCTCCTGTTGCCATGATCAATGATGTTTCTGACTATATATGCCCACTTTTGTTTCTGAGACATGACAACTGTCTCAATCTGTTTTTGTTTTGGAATCATAATAAATTTTTGTTGTTGTTGCTGGTGAGTTAGGGTGTTGTAATTAAATAAATGTAACTGGTCCAGGTGACAAAATATTAAAGGTAGAGCTAGATCTCAGTGTCCCATGTTTCACAGTAACCTGGAAGAGCAAATAGCATCTTCAGGATAATATTCTCCACAAGGGGTAGCCACAATCACAATAATGAGAATTACAGTTCAGTTCCTGAGACATTTATTCATCACATTTTTCATGCAACCTCCGCAGAAAGGTTGCTGCTCTTCCATATGAAACAATGTGTTGTTTGGTAACATCAAGCATCAGAACTAAGCAATATTTCTGAACAAACATTACACAAAGTCAGAAAAGCCTTGAAGTAACCGATCAATAAAAGCACTTGTCAATCACTAGTGACGCCACACTTAAAAGCTAATTTATAGATAAACTCTCACAATATGTCTTCACAGTACTCGTTCACAAACCAGTGAGAGGAACAGTCAATTCAGATTTTTCAGTTTTTATGTATCGATGTTAAGTTACTGTCTTGGTGCAATTCTAAAAAAGAAAATACAAGAAGAGAACAATCTCAGTCACAGAGTGTGACAAAAATAAAAAATAACAGCATTTAGCATTGTTGTAGATAATTCTGTGAAATTACTGGGTCGCAGTAGCACCAAATAAATATCTGCTATCAAATAAATATCTCTAAGAAAAAATCATTTACCCCAAGTTACTACACTTAAATCTTTTTTTCTGATTTCACCTGTCAAGCAGTGAAGTACATCCAAAGACTTAATTAAATTGTGTACAAAAGCTCACATAAATTTTACTCCCATAAGGAAAAAAAAACCTCAGTAATTTCTATTTACAGACTGATGAACTTCAGTGCTTTTCCGGTGGTTCGTGAAACCTTATAAAACTCCCAAAGAGAGGTAGTCAAGATGAAAATGACAAGAGAGAGAGAGTTCACAAAAGAAATATTTGTTTTAAATATTGGTCCTGTTAAAGAAATGGCCTCACTGGAGGCTAGAAACAAAACATTTAACATAGTGAAATATTTTCATGGTGGATAAATAAAGTTTTGGAAATGTGAAGGGTTCTGAACTTTATGTGGCCTAAATTTATTTTTATATTAATGTTCTAGGATACAGGGGGGAAAAACTATGTTAGCTTTAATTGTTATGAAAGTGCTGTATTCATAAATTATAACAAAAGAAATTTGACTTTATAATTTGATGCCTTGAAATTGGGTCTCTGTTTCTTTAAGAAGTTCCTGCTCTCTCTGACACTCCGCCATCAGCACGTCATCAAAAACAATGCTTCTCCATAACACCTTCAGCAACGTTGGCACTTGGAAGCTGTTCGTATGATGAGCTCGGCAAAGTTTGGCAATTCCTAATTGTCGCTGCCACTAGTCTGAAGGAGCTGAGTGGGGGAGTTGTGACTGAGGAGTTCACTGTAAGGCAGAAGTTCGACTTTGGGACTGCAACTCCAGGGAGGAGCTTTGTGGAAAAAGTTGGTGCATTGTGAGAGCCAGAGTTTAGGCAACCCGAATGACTGCCACAGGAGATTGAATGATTCCTCAAACATGCCTGAAAGAATCAAAGCAACTCTTCAGATATGTTTTAGATGAGGGAATCACATTATGACATGCTATGAAGCTCAAAAAGTTGACTTTTTGAGCTTTACTTAATACTCCCTCCCTTTAAGAATGTCTCATTTGTTGCAGAAAATGGAGCTTATTTAACCGATTTCAATTTAAGGTGTTTAAGAAAGTCCTCTGTCTCAATGATCCTCACTTTCTTGGTGAAATGTTTGTGATTTGTTAAGTTTTTTCAGATGAAAACTAATCTCCTCACATTGTGGTCTCGTTGTTGAGGTGGTTCAGTGTGTCATTGTCCTGGCAGATGAGCTGGTATGACTTCTCATTCTCCTCAATCACAGAGTTTCGCAAGTCAGCGTCTTGATTCTGCAGTTCTTCACAGGAGAGATATTCCACGATGCCGGCACCGAGCGAGTCGCCCAGCACGTTGGTGGTGGTCCGCAAACGGTCTCTGCAGCAGAGACGGAGACAGAAGATATTAGATGATAAGTGGAAGGAGGAGAAACTTGATTATGCAAAGAACCATTTCAACCAGAAACATTGGTGTAGATCAACGACAAATATCCTCACAGGCTCTCTAATCTGTCGCTCTGCATTATGTATCAATAACCTTTGTAAACGTGCAGCCTGTAGGCTCTCTGAAGCTCACAATGACATTTAGGCTGGCTCATTCCCAGACCAATCCCCGTCAAGCTGACATTTAGTGGAAACTCACAAGAACCAATCCACGGCGATGATCAGTGTAATGTCCTCCGTGGGCAGTCCCACCGATGTCAATACAATCACCATGGTCACCAGGCCAGCCTGAGGGATGCCTGCTGCTCCGATGCTGGCAGCCGTTGCTGTGATACTGAGTGGGTGGGATGGAGTGGAGAGTGGAGACATTTAATAAAGGGAAACAAACAAACAGCACGTGCATTCATAGTGGGAGTAGTAGAGTGATGAAGCCAAACAAGGAACGATTACACTGCCTACACCACAAACTGTGTTACACTCCACATTTAACGTGACTCAATAAAAACAGTGCTTAATGCAACATGTTTTCAGAAAATCTTAAACTAGAGCCATAAATCAGTTCTTCTGCATAAGAAAGTCAAAGGACAAAACCAGATGAAAAAAGAAAAAAGCCGCTGTAATCCAGGTCTTTCCTTTTCAATTCACCTCATCTTCTTGATCACATCAAAACATTTTACCAACCTCTAATGAATCTCTACTCTAAAAACTTTAATCATTTATGCTTCAATAAATATGGTAATTCTGAGCAAAATTTCCTACTTTCCATGACAAAAACAAAATTAAACAAAAGCTGTTACAAAAGCTTTCATGGATTACATTTTAAAAGTGAAATACATACAGATGTAAAAATGAGGTGCACATCTGACAAATTTCAACTAGCAGACTCAGTTTCTCATTTCTGTGTGTTTGATTTATAAGCTTCACTAGGTTTTGCTCAACTACATAAAAACCTGCCAAAACTACAGATTATTAAAAGTTATTAATAAGCAGATTGTTTGGGCTTCTAATAGAAATTGTCACACTATCCAAAGTTTCAAGGTGGCACTGTAATACATTTATTATAAGCATGTTTTAGTGTTTGAAACCAAGAAATATATCATAATTTTCAATAATTTGATGATGATGTTACAGTGGCTTTTTATCACAAAATGTGTTTTTTAGGTCTGATATCCAAACTAAGAAAAATCAAAAAAGATACAGTGTATTTGTTCTTTTGTCTTAAGAGCTTAACAGATGTGTTCACATTTTTATTTTTGAAGAAACTTCAGACCTTAAACTGAAAGGTCTGGTGACTTGGCTTGAAATGTCTTTAGTATTATCAGACAACTTGTACAAAAAGTTAATCATTTAGGTAAAATATTAATTCCACTCTTGCATTCATCATGCTTTAAATTTAGTTATGAGAGATTAATAAAAACTTGCTGACCTGATGGTGAGAATCTGCCCAAAGTTTAGGTCCATGTCATTCACTTGAGCAATAAAGATGGCTGCCACAGCCTCATAGAGCGCGGTCCCATCCATGTTGATGGTGGCGCCCACAGGAAGGACAAAGCGAGTCACTCGTTTATCAACATGGTTGTTTTCTTCAAGACATCGGAAAGTGATGGGCAGCGTAGCAGAACTGCAAGAGAGTGGAAACGAGGCAAAAGACGCAGAGATTATAGCATCTGTGATCAGAGATTGGGTTGTGAAGATATAGCAGGTACATTTTCAACATGCTACATCAACGTTTTGAATAGAGACTTTCAAAACTGGATTAATGGTTAGATAGATTACGATCTGAGCTGACAGTGAGATAAGTGCTAGGAGAACATGCAAGCTCCGTGCAGAAAGACCCTTGGCCGGGAATCGAACCGACCCCTCTTTTGGCAGTATAATGTATGTGATTAACCGAGATGTGTTCAAAGACTATCTGTGTCTAACTCCCGTCCTGTAGGTGTAGTGCGCTGCATTTTAAAGATGTATTGCTGTGCTGACAGATGAATTAAGTCACGACATGCAATGAAGTCCTGCAAAGGCCAGGTGATTGATTAATCATTTATTAGATTCAGGAGGTTTTTTTTTTTACATCCAGATGGCAATAAAACTGCTGAACCCTGAAGATCATTGGAAGAAGTTTCTGTTAGAATTTTCTGGCTGCAACTTGAAGTCAATGAATCAAAACTATTTTGTGGGAAGTTAAAACAAATGGATAGAAAATACATTTCTTTTTGCAAAAACAGTCTGCTTTTGGCATTACTGTGCTGTGGCCATTGTGTGCACAAGCCAACATTTCTTTACAAGCCAAGATGGATGCTCATCAGAACATTTCATTCTAAAATGACCAGTAATATGGCTATTCAGTATGGCTGTTGAGCATTTTAGACAGTAAAATACAAAACCTTTTCAATGAAATGGTGGTTTTTCCTTGACTTAGTTTTTGGTTACAATGAGTATGGAAACTCCCGACAGAAAAGAAGACCCTACCCAAAACAGGCAGAAGGACCCATTAGGTCCTGATGGGAAAGGGATGGAAGAGAGAAATAAGATCACTGAGAAATATTTTCATGGTGAAACTCACCTGGATGACGTCCCTAAAGCGGTGATAAGGGCCTGCAGCAGGCCGCCAATGAAACTGTAGGGATTCCTTCTGGTAACCAGAAAGTAGAGCAGCGGCAGGACGAAGAGTCCGTGGATTAGAAGACCCACAATGACAGATACTGTGTACATCCCCAACTGACCACCCACTTCCGCCAGATCCTTCATCTCCACTATTTTTCCAGCAATCAGAAACAAGATTCCGACTGGAGCGTACCTGCAGAAGGAGATGTTTACTGTCAAAACCAACACGACAACATGCAAGCGCAATCTTCGTTATCTAAGTTAGAAAATCCATTTTTCAGAAAAAGCAGCAATTCTGCTGTTATTTACCAAATGATGATGGCTACCAGCCTCATTATGGCCTCGTTTAAGCAGTCAAAGAACTCCTTAAGAGCGTGTCCCTGTTCTTTCATGTTACCAATGACCAGACCAAAGCACATGGAGAAGACGACCAGACCCAGAGCGTTCACTCCGGCCGAGGAACCAGACACAGGAACCGTTTCCTCCACTGTCTCCTGCAGATCGCAACAGAAACAGCAGTTCATAATTTAGGCGTAGAGCTTTATTCTAGTAAATAACGAGATGATGTCTTGATTTAAATTCACCTGTATGGTGCGTTGCACCCTAGTGAGGTTTTCATTCAGAGAAGAGTCTGTTATGTTAAGCAAGTCGGTGAGGTTGAGAGTCACGTTTCTTGTATAAACAATCTTCTTATACACCGTTTTATGCTGCAAACAAACCCACAGGTGAAGTTATGGAAAGGAAGTGAATACTTCTGCATGGCACATTAAAGGGAAGAAACTGGAAAGAAGTGAAACAGATTTACCTGAACGAAGCATGCTTCTACCAGATTAGGGGGAAACATGTTCCTAAGTTGAAAGATAAAAGCTCCAGATGAGTCAAAACTGGTTTTTTGGAGCTTTCTGAAGTATCACAAATAGTCCTGAAATACCAAGGGGATAAATAGTGCACAGACCACTTGTTGAAACTGCTGTTTTTTCTGACGTAACAATAAAATCTGCCGTCAGTGTGACATATATCCTGTACATTTAAACTGAAAAACAAACAAATCTGTTTGACATTTAAGAAAAATGAAATGCTGGGGGCGCTGGAGCGCTGCAATGGAGTAGGCGCTTTTTTGTGAGGCTCCGTATTATCTCCCCAAACTTCGCCTCTAACATAATACACCTGGCCCTTTATTCAATATTGTTTTTCTTCAAGAGATTGGGAATATTTTTTTTACTCTTCTCTCTCAAAATGGGGAAGAAGGACGGCGCACAGAAGGAGACAGCCCAGCCGAGTTTCCGGAGCTAGCAACGAAGCTATCCTAGGTGCTATCACAGCTCAGGGGGTGCAAGTTGCTAAGCTTTTCGATCTTATTGATGACCTAAAGAAGACAATGGAGGGCCGTTTCAACACTATTGAATCTTCTCTCTCCGCCGTGCAAACTCAACAACGGGAGATAGAGAGCCGAGTCGACACCATTGATGAAGCCATGTCGTCTGCTGATGGCCGCATCTCGGCCCTCGAAGCCTCCTGTGGTCAGCTCCGGGATGCTAACGCTCTGCTGAGAGAGAAGCTAAGTGATCTGGAAGGTCGGTCCCGCAGATGTAATATAAGGGTGCTTGGCATCAAGGAAGGTGCAGAACAAGGTCGCCCTACTGACTTTATTTCACGGCTCTTACCGGAGGTACTCGGAAAGGATAATTTTGTCAAGCCCATCAAGATTGACCGCGCTCACCGTAGTCTTAGGCCGAAACCGTCACCTGTGGAGCGACCACGCGCCATCATCGCAAAGATTCACAACGACAGAGACGTGGCTAACATTCTGCGACTCAGCCGCTTGCATTCACCCCTGATGTACAACGGAGCCCGTGTGTCCATCTTTCCTGACTACACAGCTGAAGTCGTGGCGCAACGGATGGCCTACAACAGCGTGAGGAAGAAGCTAACCGACACGGGCGCTAAGTGCTCGCTACGCTATCCAGCCAAGCTGCAGGTTGTACACAACAACATAGTTAAGACTTTTCTCTCCCGGCGGAGGCTGAACATTTCGCTGATTCCATCTCTGCCGCAGCAGATGTCCCAACCTAGGCTCACTGGTTGTACTTGTTCGGAAATTGTAAATTCCTGTACCTTAAAGCACAATAGGTTTGGTTATGTTTTCCTTGTATGTTATATTCTCTGAGGTCATTCCGGGTATACATAAAGTACTTAACTTCTTGTTAGCTTGAATTCTCACTAGTTGTATATCCCTTGTGGTCTTTATATACCTGAATCTGAAACTTAGAATTGTCCAGGTGTTTTTATTTGTACTGTTCATTGTATTTTGGAGATCTCCGGGGTTCTTGCTCCCTATTTAGGAGTGGTTATGGTAGTTCCCGTAGTGTACTGCTCGGGTCAGCTCCAGCAGCCTCCTTAGCTTAAGGGGAAGCACTGTTTGTTTTTACATTGCGGTGTGGGAGTGGGAGGGGTTGGTTCGGTATTTGGTCACTTAGTTCTAGAATGGGGGGCAGGGAGGGGAGGGACGAGTGGGTGGGTGGTTTTTTTCTCTTTCTCCCTTTCTTTCTTCTTTTCCTTTTCTTTTTCTCCCTTATTCAGCTCAGACAACACTTTTTTGTCCACCGTTCTGAATTTTCTCTGACGGTGCTCCTTTCATGCCAGCTATGAATCCGATTACCTTCATCACCTGGAACTGCAGGGGTGTGGGTGGGGCGCTCAAGAGGGGCAAAGTTTTTTCTCACTTGAAGGATCTGTCTGCTGATGTTGTGTTCCTGCAGGAGACACATATCTCACCTACGGAACAGAGACGTTTGAGGACATCATGGGTGTCGTGTGTGTATCAATCCAACTTCACCTCCAGGGCGAGAGGAGTGGCCATTCTCATCCGTAAAACCGTTCCATTCATATTTAAGTCACAGGTGACTGATCCAGGCGGGAGATACGTTCTTATTACTGGCATCATTAATTCTGTCCCCCTGGCCCTTCTTAACATCTATGCACCTAACTTTGACTGTCCAGACTTTTATAAAAAAGTATTTAATCTTGTAGCGGAACACACTGAATATAGGATCATTGTTGGGGTGATTTTAATTGCTACCTCGACCCTGTCCTCGACAGGTCTTCTCCTAAACCTGCCTCGCCATCGCAGTCCACATCGGTTATAACCAAGTTAGCAGCATCTTTGGATCTGGTTGATGTCTGGCGGCATCAACATCCCATAGAGAGCCAATATTCTTTTTTTTCCTCGGTGCACAAATCCTCAACAAGAATTGACTATTTTTGGCTGACTCAAACTTATTACCCCGTGTTCTCAAATCCACCTACCACCCTATTCTCATCTCTGATCATGCACCATTGTCAGTTGAATTTAATTTTGATACCCAAAGAGCACAGTACAATTGGAAACTTAATCCCTCCCTGTACTTGGACAGCTCCTTTGGCAAGTTTGTCTCTAATAAGATCTCAGACTTTTTGGCTTACAATGATAATGGCACTGTCTCGGATTCCACACTTTGGGAATCTTTCAAAGCTGTGATAAGAGGTGATATTATATCATACCAATCCAATCTTAAGAGAGTCAGACGTAATCGTCTGGCGGAAATTGAGAAACAAATAACCACACTGGAAGACACACTCCATCGCTCCAATTCAGACCACATAATTACCTCGATTGTGAATCTAAAGTATGAATATAACTGTATTTTGGGTGAGCGGGTCATGGATGATATTCAGAGGCTGCGTCAGAGGTATTTCGAACTGGGAGACAAAGCAGATCAAATACTATCCAGGCAGTTGAAGGGAATGCAGGCCGAGCGAGCCATTAATAAGATACTCTCTCCATCAGGCCAGCTTCTGACAGATCATACGCTAATAAACAAAACTTTCTTTCAGTACTACAATAAACTTTATGCCTCCAATACAACTCCATCTACAGAGGATATCGCACGCTTTATTCAACCATTGGACATTCCGACTCTTACAAATGCCGCAAGGCTGGAACTAGATGATGATGTTACTCTGGAGGAGATAAGGGCAGCAATCCGCTCTTTTCCTAGTGGAAAGGCATGCGGTCCTGACGGCTTTGGTATCGAGTTTTACAAGACTCATATTGACGTGGTGGCGCCACTCATACTGCGTATGGTCAGGTCTTCCGTGGAGGTTGGGCATTTTCCTGAGTCTCTATATGATGCTAGTATTTGTCTTTTACTTAAAAAGGACAGAGACCCTACTAATGTGGCTTCATATCGCCCCTTGAGCCTGCTTAACTCTGATCAGAAAATTATTGCTAAGGTCTTAGCTAACCGACTGTCCTCCCACATCAGTGCTCTGGTACATCCAGATCAATCTGGATTCATTCCAGAAAGATTCTCTTTCTCCAACACAAGACGACTACTTAACATTATGTATTCTCACGCTCTTACCAACTCAGCAGTCATATCTTTGGATGCTCAGCAAGCTTTCGACCAGGTGGAGTGGGGACATGTTCGCTGTTCTCAGAAGATTTGGCTTTGGCACAGGTTTTCTGTCTCTGATAGAAATGCTTTATGCTCATCCCAGGTCTCGGGTGTTGACCAATAGAGACAGATCACCTGCCTTTCTACTGAAACGTGGCACTAGGCAGGGCTGCTGCTTGTCTCCCATGCTATTTGCGTTGGCTTTGGAACCCTTGGCGGCTGCCATCAGGTCTAATCAACTTATCACGGGTATCACATGTGGTACACTAGAGCACGTCATAGGCTTATATGCGATGTAGTCTTGACATTGCTTGATGCTAGAGCCTCTCTTCCACCGCTTCTCGAAGTGCTGCAGAGCTTTGGGCAGCTCTCTGGTTCACAATCAACTGAATAAGTCTGTCTTTGTGCCTCTGTCTAACGGACTTGACTCTGGTTTTCTGAATAGTTTACCATTAAAAATCGCCCATGACCACTTTATGTATCTCGGTATCAAAATTCCCGTAAACTCCAAGTTACTATTCCAATTAAATTTTAGAGTTACTCTCTAAGCTAAGAAAATGGATTGACAACTGGCGGTTACTCCCACTCTCATTAATTGGTCGTATTAATATTATCAAAATGGTTGTACTTCCTAAGTTTATTTATCTCTTCCAAAATATTCCAATTTTTATTCCTTTCTTCCTTTTTTAATACATTGGACTCAATGATTATGCCATTCATTTGGGCATACAAACCTTCCCGAATCTCTAAAGCGCATTTGCAGAAATCTAGATGGGAGGGTGGCTTTGGCCTTCCGATTTTTCGGCACTACTACTGGGCCTGCAATGCCAGAGCTTGGACATTCTGGACGTCATCCTCTGCCGAGGCGGGGACTCCTTCCGTCTCCCTCCCTGGCTGGCCTCAGATTGAATCTCATAACTTGTTACTACAAACTTCTGCTTCATTGCCTGCAATATTATTCTCTAAACCAGATATCCCCCTCAAGAGGCTCACGTCTGACTTCATACTTTGGAACTCAGTTAAAATTTGACACAAATAAAGAGAGTCTTGAAACTCCCAGACTTGTCTATTTATGCCCCTTTGTGTCATAACCCCTGCTTTAAACCGGGCCTCTTGGATCCTGCCTTCAAACTCTGGTCAGGCAGGGGCCTCTCCTCTCTCAAGGATCTTTTTATCAACAAAAAGATTGCATCATACCCTCAGCTACAGTCTAAATTCAATTTGTCCCCAAATAATTTTTTTCGCTATTTGCAAGCTAGGAGTTTTGCAAACCAACTTGCTTTAAGCACAAATCAGCATTCAGCGCAACATGTTTTTTATGATCTTCTTATTAAAGCCCCCACCTCCAGACATCTAATCTCACTGTTTGTGAATGTTTTCTCTAAGCCGGAGTCGTCCATTCATATCAGAGATGCCTGGTCCAAAGATTTGGGAGTTACAATTCCCACTGCGCTCTGGGACCGTGTGCTGTTGGGGATAAAAAACTGCTCTATTAATGCCAAATTGCAACTAATCCAGTTTAAAGTGGTGCATCGTCTGCACTACTCTAAAGCGAGATTGAATAAAATATTCCCAAGTCATTCAAGTACTTGTGACAGATGTGGACACCCTAAGGCTACTCTTGGACATCAATTTTGGCACTGCCATTATTTAACAACCTTTTGGGTCTGACATATTCTGTCTCTACCAAACTGCGTACAAACAACAGATTCCTTTGGACTGTCTTGTTGCTCTGTTTGGGGTATCTGACTCCTGCTCTGCTCTGCCCTTGTCTACTCGAGAGGCTCTCGCTTTTGGGATGGTTGTGGCTAAACGTGTCATTCTTACAGAGTGGAAGTCTGCCTCACCTCCCTCCTTTAAATGTTGGCTTAATAGCATGGCTTCTTGTTTACACCTTGAAAAATACGCTACACTCTCGATAATAATGTACCCAGATATGCTGGGACATGGGGGCCATTCCTTGAACATTTGAGTAATACCACTGGACACAGTTAGTGGCAGGCTAACGTCTGCTCTGTGACAGTGGGTGGGCCTCCCGGTTGGTGCACAAGTGACTTAATGCACCCTGATGCATTCATTTCCAGCAGTCGGCGAAGGAGCTGAATATTTTATTTAGTTCTTACTTGTTTTATTTGTTCATATTAACCCTTCTTTTTTTATTATTTTTTATTTTATTTTTTTTTTCTTTCCGTTTCCCCCTTCTATCTATTTGTTGTTCTAACTTCTATCCTTAATAACCTGGGGTGGGTTGGGTTGGGGTATCACTGTTTGTGTGTCTATTTTCTGGATACATAAAGGACAGTCGTGATCTGGAATCTATTTGTAACTGAGATCTGTTTTGGACTCACTTACTGATGATGACAATATAGAAGATCCCAATTCCAGCGTCAACCTACGCCAACTGGTCATCACGGTCTGATCGACGATCCGGATTTCATTGTATTTTGATAACTGTCCTGCAGTTTTTGTTCATTTGTTGATAACAATAAATATATTACAAAAAGTTAAAAAAAAAAAAAAAAAAAAAAAAAAAAAAAAAAAAGAATACTATAAAGAAAATATACTGACATCATACAAAAATTGATTTCTCTCATGTTGGGGAATTTAGCAAGTGAAAATGATTTTGACAATCCTAACTGACCCAAAAAAGGAAAGGTTTAGTCTTATTTAATTTCTGGCCGTGCCTTGATGTTATCTGCTGTTAGGAATGATCATGTTTGCTGTCATTCTTACATTAGTACTTTTACTAATTTGTTTTTTATTTAAAGGTTAATGTTCCAACAAACTTGTGTTTTCTTTTAACCTGCCTGTCTGATCTCTTGGTTTCAGGATCACTTTGCAACCTTGAACATGTTTTCTGCAGCTGTTTCACTATCTACTCCTTACTTGTGAAACTCCCTGTGTGCAGGAGGTTAGTTCCCATGTCCATCTTTATTATCAGAATTGCCCCCTTCCTTGATTTATTACTTTCCTACATTCCACTCACTGGTTTAATAAAAAAGACAAGTACTGAAGAGAGTCAGAACACATGGTGAGCTGTTCGAAGGAGCAGTTTTCTGTCTTCTCACTTTTGCAAAAGGCTTGATTGAAAACTAAGAAACGTTGTCTGTGGTTCCTTTTTTATGTAGGTTCAGAAAATACCTGTAATCTGTCATGTTAAAATCCAGTATTAAAGTTTCCTATAATGTCAAAAAAAAAAAAAAAAAAAAAAAAAGAAAAATGAAATGCTAACATTGTTTAGTTGCATAATTGTGCACACCCACAAACTAATACTTTGTTGGAGAAAAGATTAATTCAGGCATTCAGTCTTGGTGGTTTCACATGCCTGTCAACAATTCCAGTGACTATTTAATTACATTCAGCTGTGCTATTAGGATTTCATTTGCATTTATATGTTTATAGTTTGCAGAGAAATTACAAAAGAATGAATTGGACCTCATTGGACAATAAGTGCCAGACAGGAGAAGAGCATGTTCCTGCACTATGGCACAGTAACATTTGGGAAAAAGACAGTTTCTGGACAATTTTTGATATTTAAGAAGAAGGCAAGACAGAAACTGGACAAGAAACTGCCAAGAGACTGACATAGAAAGAACTGCAACAATAAATAAATCTGGTTCTATTTTAGTGAGTAATCTCCTCTTGTGTTTTCCAAATGTTTGGACTAAGGAGTGTGATTGAAAAGCAAAAGCTTTTCCAAATCCAGCATGAAGCCCAACCTCAACTTTTGACTAAAATTGCAAGACATGCTTGTCACAAAACATAAACAAGCATATCACCAAGCACACACTACACATGAAACATAATGGTGGCAGCAAACTTTTTTTGTCAGTCAAATCAACCAATGAGGGACTCCACCAGATGAATATTGAAGTTGTGCAATGACCTGCAGCAGGGATCCTCATGTTCTGCAGGGCCAGTGTCCTTTAGGTTTTAGTACCTCTGCTTTGACACACCTGAGTCAAATAAGAGGTCGTTACCCGGACTCTGGGGAACTTGGCTGCATACTGAGGAGTTAATTCAGTTATTTGATTTGAGTGTGTTCAAACTGGGAGACATCTCAAAGTTTTAGGACACTGACCCTGGAGGCCTAGATTTGCATCCCCAGAACCACAAGTAAACAACCAGGATTCAGCTTCTAGGCACCACAAATCTGGAACAAGCTTCCAGAAAACTGCAAAACAGCAGAAACAACAATTTCTTTTAAATCTCGGCTAAAAACCCACCAGTTTAGAGTTGCTTTTAAACTATAATAAATAAAACGTTTACCAACATTTTTACATGTAATAATGGGACTAGGCAAAATGTAACATTTCAGTTGTTGCCTGTGTATCCTACGACTTTTACTTTGGAAAACATGTTTTGTTTAATAAGGGTGTGGGAACTTATCAGGTTTTTTTCTCTTTTTTCGTGCAAATTTCCACGTAGCATTTTAGCCAAACATGTTGATCTTACTCAACCTGTGGGTCCTCACCTGATGAGGTCCAGAAAAGCATCAGTAGCCTGAATGGATTCAATGTTTCCGGTTTTAACCGCAGGATTGTCCCTGGAGCCTTTCCCCGGCCGGATGATCATGACGATCACGATGCCGATAAATACTGCGATCAGTGTGGTCACCATGTAGTAGACCACCGCACGCACACCCATCTTTCCCGATGCTCTCCTGTCCAATGAGGAGATACCTGCGGCAGGAAAAAAAAATGTTTGTGAAACTGGCAAATGCTGTTAACTTTAACCCTAATGGCATCATTACTTTATTTTTGTGATTTCTGAGTAAAACATTTTCAGTAAATAAAGAGATGGGATTAAAGCACAAGAACTTTGTATACTTTACTCATCAGAAGCTAACCTGTGACCAGACTGGAGACAATCAGCGGCAGTACCAGCATCTTCAGCATCCTCATCAGGAGCTCCCCAGGAAAGGAAAAGTATTTTATCTCCCTCATGGACAGGTTATGGGGTCGTAGCGCAAAGCCCAGGATTACACCTGAACAGAAAGTAAACATTCCACACATTCAAACAAATAAAGAAAGTAATGTGGACCCGAGTAATTGATAACAAGACTTTTTTCCCACTGACCAAGAGCCACAGAGGCCACTGTGAACAAAACGAACAGGTTCCTCCTGAAGAAACCTTTGAGGCTTTCCTTGCTGAAGGAGCCGATCCGCTGCCTCATGCTGCCTGCTCTCTTCTCCATGGCTCTGCGAAAACGCGTCCTGAGCTCAACTTTGTCCGGCAACGTTGGTTTTTCTGTGTCCTCGTTCAGAAAAAGGCTTGCACTGTTGTGTGGCTTCTCATTCATAAAAAGCTCCAGCACCTGGTCCAGCAGGCAGGTCTCGTGTGAAACTGAAACAGGAGTAAGAAGCAATATCTGTCCCTATTCCATGTTTTCTCTTGAATGGAGGAAGAAACCAACAGATTTCAGCACCTGTCCCCTGCTGAAAATCACAATTAAACAGTGACCAAAACTCTCACAAAAACATGTGAAAAAAACATGGTTTTTATACCATTGGCCTGTGCTTTCTTGTTAATTAGCTTCATGGTCAGAGTTCTCCACAGTATAGCATCATTTCTAAGCCAAAATGTCAAATTTAATGCAAATAGAATTTAAAATAACTATAAATTTAGCTCTTAAGCGAGAGTTTACACTATTGTTGTGTAATAAACTAAAAATGTTGCTTCAAGATTGATGAAGCAGCAAAGAAAAACAAAAAGAAGTAACAAGTATCTTCTCACTTAAGCTGATGTGTTGTGCCCTATTACAATTCCTCTTACTTTACTTTGAAAATACAAAACTTTAGTTTTAGACATTACAGAACTTGTACATCTCACAAAAATTAATACATTGTTTTAGCAGTGGAAAAAGGAACAAAAAACTACATTGTACACTCTGATTCTGAGTTTGCCAACTTTTACTGACACTGCAAAACCTCCAGTCCGCTTTCCTAATTATGTCAAAAGCAGGACAAACTTCTTGTTTTGAAATTAGATATGTTAAAAAAAATGCAAGTGTCCTTTTTAAATGTCCTGAATGAAAAGTGCTGTCAGTGTTAAATTACTGAACCTTCTTAAGTCTTACCGTGTTTCTCTCTTTCCTTTGTGCGTGCAGTAACACGTGGCTGACAGTTCTACCTCTTCCTATCTGCCCCGGCTGCTTCCTGTTAAAACGTCGCCCTTGGCAAACATACTGGACTTCCCGCGCTTTGACTCAGTGACATATTCATGTGTTTATCTACACCCGCAAGTCACACAGACATGGTCTCCCTTTCACTAAACACCTCACAGCAGTAATTTCACATTTCTGGATCATTCTCACCCCATATATATGTTTACATTTATGGTGTTTTTTTTGTAACAATCTGTTTCTCGGTTCTTGACCTTCTTTGTTTTCCAGCTGCTTTGACCAGAGATGATTTAAAGTAATCCTTCTTTACCCAGAGTTTGTTATCATGTGGCCCCGCTAAATAGGCAAATTTCTTCCCCTTCGATGATATTTTGGTTTGATCAGGAATCATAATGTGATACTTTTCACAAGACTTAACTGGCACAAATGTGGGTCAGAAAAAGAATAAATGAAAATAGTCCAAAATATAAAATCTTGATAGAATATTACAGAGTCAAGTTAAATGAACCATTGATATGTGATGCGTAAGGACATGTATACAAAATATTTTAGGGATTTCTTGTATATGAAAGAGTAGCAGGTGGGCATGAGATCGCAGCGATGACCCAGAACCAGTTTATATGCTGAAAGTTAATAGGTTCCCTCTGATTGCACAGTTGAGAAGACGGACCAAACACAACTGTAACAGAGCACATTCAGCTGCAAAAAATCCGACCTGTTTCAACAAAAGCTTGCTTTGTCCAACTTTGTGGATCGCGATTTAACAGAACAGTTTTAAACACACTTGTTTAAAACAATACTGGTCATGCAGAATAAAATTGGTGTTAGTGTAGATGGTCGTTATTTTTTTTATAAGCAACAGTTTACACAAAAACATAAGATGCGTAAATTGTTGCAGATTTTAAGAGAATCAATCCAAAAGCCACAAGAAACATCTGAACTTGCAGACAAGACGAAACACTAAGAACGTTAACACTGAACATTGAAGTTATAGCCTGAAACATAATCGCACACACCTATGCCTTGCTTCATACAAGTATAATATAAATTTAAAATTTATCCATGTGAAATCAAGTACATGTCTGTACAAGTAAATACACAACAGTTTCTGTAATTCATTTCTAACATTGAGCAAATTCTCTGAATAAATATCCCTCTGCGACAGAGACAGGTGTAATTCAGGTCCCCAATGATTACTCACCACTCATGGTTACAGTCTTTGGGAGCGCTTAAATTAAAATCAGGTGATGATCAGAGCTCAACCAGCAAACACTGCAATGACCTTAAGCTGTATTAGTGCGAGAGTCCGGAGCAGAGCAGCACAATGATTGCAGCTCTGCACTGCGCTCATATACAGACAGACATGAAAAGGCCTCTCCTATGGTCTGACCTTCTCACATTTCCACACATAAGCCTGGAAAACACACACACACACACACACACACACACAACACACACACACACACACACACACACACACACACACACACACACGCACGCACACACACAGGACAGACCATCTTTCCCCAAACCCATTCAATAAAAGCCTGTTTATTTCAGGAACTTTATCACTAAGTGAAACCCACATATATGTTAATTACACACAGATGGCAGTTTGGAAGACATTATTTCTGACTTTCTATTTATGTAAATTATTTTTCAAATACTTTTTATGCAGAATATAACTTTTCAGAGGTATTTTCTAAAGCAGAGAAGTCAAAACAAAGGTAGGATGAGAAAAGTCTGTGCATTAAAGCTGCAGTATGCAACTTTTATATAAGAAAATATTCTTATACATATTTGCTGAAAATGTCAGTATTTTGTGACAGTGTGGTATTAAACAGATAATCTGTGAAAGGATCGAGTGCCTCTGTGTTTTCAGTGTTCTCAGTGATAACTGGAAACAACCAATAACAGCCAAGAGGCGATTCTTAACACTGTCAATCACAATTTCCTGTGGCGCTCCTCACCCCTCTTCTCCACCTGCTCTCTCTGCAGAGTGTGCCCTGAATGCTAAAGCCAAATAGCAAGGCCAAAGATAAATGGTAAAACGGTAAGACATTCCTCACCATGAGCACATGTAGCAGCATTGATTGACAGCACTAAGACCCTCCTCCTGGCTCTGATTGGTTGTTCTTTGTCCGAAATGGTGACTTTTTAAAAAAGTAGCTATTATCTTTCTCACAGCAAACCGACACAACATGGTGAGAGTTTCAACAAATATGAAAATAATATATTCTTCTATAAAGAATATAGTATATTTTGTATAAAAGTGACATATAGCTTTTAGCCAAAATAGATGTCATCCCAACCTTATTCTTTTTACTCAGATCTTTTTTTACTCAGAGCGAAAGAATGAAAGAGTATAAATATAAAACATGCACGCAGTCAGTGTGACAGCTGCAGTTTGTGGACTATAATTACAAAACTTTTGAGTTTATAATTGTGTTGTCGTCATTTTGTCTTTTAGACATCCAGAGGTTACTATATCTGAACAGGAAGTTAGAGAATGACACATGAAATCTATCCCTCTGTCATCACTTATTTAAAAATGCTAATCCTGGACATTGACACAATAATATATATTTTGAAATAAATGGACATATGTCTAAAGAAACTGCTGTACTAAATCTTTGATAGATAGATAGATAGATAGATAGATAGATAGATAGATAGATAGATAGATAGATAGATAGATAGATAGATAGATAGATAGATAGATAGATAGATAGATAGATGGATGGATGGATGGATGGATGGATGATGGATGGATGGATGGATGGATGGATGGATGGATGGATGGATGGATGGATGGATGGATGGATGGATGGATGGATGGATGGATGGATGGATGGATGGATGGATGGATGGATGGATGGATAGATAGATAGATAGATAGATAGATAGATAGATAGATAGATAGATAGATAGATAGATAGATGATAGATAGATAGATAGATAGAAACTTATTTACCCTGTAAGTCTCTCCTTCCTTATGTCAGACTTTCATGACTTGTCCATTCTCTTCGTTTTAACTTCTCCTTGCGGATCTTCAGAACCTTTACAAAGTCAACACACAAGAATGTATCTCAAATCTCATTTTTAACCCTATATTCTGTTATCAGTTGAGTAAAAAAGATGAGAAGCTAACTAGAAACAAGTCTCGCCCACCTGTTAGTCAGAGACGATGCTCTCTCCATCATGTGGCTCTCTCTGTCTTCGCCACGCTGCTTGCTGCTGCTAATGAAGCATTGATGCCCACTCACACACACTCCCCGCATCATCCGCACTGCAAAACTCCTGATTTACAACGTCAACCCATGTAGAGCGTCGTGCTTTGTGAGGAGGCGCGGCTGGGATGTGTGAGTGGGTGGAGGAGAGGTTGAGGAATCTTCAGGGGTGAAAAATGATCATTTATTTGTATCAATAAAACCTGAATTTGAATCAGCCTCTTTGTTCTGAGATCAATCTCAATCTGATCAAATGACTCTTCTAGAACTTAAATAACACAAAAACAATGATGACTGTTCATGTAACGTATTTGGGTCCTGGTGCTTGCACACGCCACACAGGGGTTATTGCTATGACAACAAGCATGTGCTCGGCACTGAGGGAACTGGTTGTATCTGTTACCCTGCTGGCATCCAGCTGCCCGGCTCTCTGCTCTCACACCCACACATCACACTCACAGAACTCCATTAACATGCATGAACATAAAGTGTGAGGAGAAAGAAGCTCCTCAGCAGCCATGTGAATAACACACACTACGCTGTGTATTATTGTTTTATTCAGAGGGATGTACAGCAAGCTAACTCAGGATTAGTGGCTCCTCTGAAGCTCTCAAAGGCTCCAGGTTTGTTATTACATGAATACATATAGCTACGTTTTTTTTTTTTGTTTGTTTGTTTGTTTTTTTTCAAAATGTCAAATTGTTCTACACCTACAACTGAGCGTCCAACATGGTGTTTTAATTTTTAAGGCTATTGTCAAGGCTCATTTGTATTAAACCTAGCCAGTTATCTTCTCTGGGATGAGATGTGTTGATCTGCAACAAGCAGGTCAAAATTGTAAGCAAAACCGGGACGTGAAGGGATTTCAGAGAGGCAACGGAGAACGGCATTCAGTTGACTTTGATGTTCTGAAAACTGTTCATTCAGAAGGAATAAAAAAGGGGAAATCCCTGAGGAACGGATGAGAGCGTGATCACAGCCCCAGACTGATGACTATGGAGGGTCTCCTGAATCCGGATGAAAAAGCTAAAACGCTCCACGGGGCTGATGCAGCAGAAGCGACAGAGATTTCTCCTGAGATGTTGAACGTTGCAGAGATTGCTGGATTTTAATGGTTGACAAGTTCAAAGACAAACTGCAGTGAAGGTTCAAAGTATTAAAAAGGGAGACCAGAGAGTGTTTCAGCTTCTGACAAATCAAATGAGACCATCAGAAAGAAGCTGATCCGTTAACAGTGGTGCACATCAACGACTCAGCAAAGGTGATGAAGACTGTGAAGTTCATAAACAAACCTTAACCAGTTCAGAAAGAACTGGTCTCTGGTAAACAGCAGTTCCTCTTCCCACGCAGGACGGGCTCAAATCTTCACCTCCTTCCAAAAAAGCACCGAGGCCAAAATGAGCAACAGTGTGGTGCAGCAGCTGTCTCTCTTCCCCAAATACAACTCTGAATTAAAATATTGCATACTGTTACATTTTTTAAAATCACATGAAAGCCATGAAAGCATAAAAGAGTGGAGGTTTTTATTTTAAAATGGGAATTATTCCACATCTTTTTTTAGAGCCTAACTTTTGGGTATTTTTAAGACTTTAACATGTCTTGGCTAGATTTTACGTACGCTTACGTTGTAAAGAAATAAACAGCAGACTCTACAGCACAGCAAGACGCTTTCCATAAATCTTACTCTCAATAAAACAAAGTGTCATCACTCTAATCTGCTCTTAATTATCAGGGCAAAAACATAGATATCCACTAAATGCTCAAAAATCAACAAAGAAGTTGTTCCGCCATTTGTTTTTTTATATTTCTGATGATCCTGTTCCAGTTTGGTGTAGAAAAGTGAGAGAGGCAGACTCCATTGCCATGGAAACACAATTATCGCGCCATAATGTAGGAGGCATGGATCATGTATGAACCACGCTTGGTGTAATTACTCGCTCGCCCACAGAACAAAGACTTTTCTCAGTGTTTTCTTTGAGTGTAAATTGCCTTTTACTATCTTGCTGTTAATTACAAGTGATTTTCATAGAATGCCAGTTTGAAATTTGCTTTAATTTAGTACATTGATGAAGTAATGAACAAAATAAACATGATTATTTTTACGTAATACATGTCAATTAAATTACCTCAAACAGTGCGTCTTGTGATGGATTTAGATGCTCATTGCTTCCACTTATAAACTGTCCATTAGTTTCCCAGCAACATGCCGCGTGTTAACGCCGCAGCTTCATGAAGCTGCAATTCTGAGCTTTGTCTCAGATGTTTGTGCAACCATGTTATTGTCTCTAAACAGTATGAAGGGCAGAGAAGTGGAATGAAGCATGCTTCCCCATCCCTGAAGTGCTCACACACACACACACACGCACACTCACACGATGATGGATCGCTCATCAATTATTTCTCAAAGACAGGATTTAGGCTCAGCATCGCCCCAACTCTGACCCAAGATTTGGCAGCTGTTACTTTGACTATAAACATTATGTAGCAGAATTAATTCTGACCACAGAAAACAAACACCACTGATCAGATTTTCAATAATTACCAATTGAACCCGAGTCAAAATAACAGGCATTCGATTAAGTCCTACTTGGGATTTGGTATAGATTTCCAATATTTAGGAGATGAAAGTGCAAAAAAGCTCTGTACATCAAAAAGCCACAGGATAAACAGAAAGGTCAGAGCATAGGTCGTTCTGCTTTGAAATGTCAGCAGATTATTCAGACCTGGGCCCCTAAAAATACTGGAAAATATTCATCATGTTAGATTTATGTGTTGACAGTATTCTACACATGGAAAAAATACACCAGGATTGTTCAATGTCATGAGTCGTAGTCTGGAGGAAAAAAAAACACTGAGGAGAAATGTCGTCTTATTTACCTTGCTAATCCCTCAAAAAAAGTTATCTTCTTCACAGACATTAGAAATAAACATCTGCAATAGCTCAATATAGCAAATTGGTGTATAAAGTAAGAAAAGCAAAGCAAAAAAACAGTTTGAATCGGATTCAAATCAGTCAAACTGGAAGGTTTAGAGTGGATACTTTAAAGACTTCAAGCTTGTACTCAAATGTAATTATTTCAAATAAGTTTTTATTACATAAAATCAAACATGCCAGTGAAAAAGACATGCATACCTGTTTTTTATTTATTTTTCTTTATCAAAATCAAAATTAAAAAAAAGACATTGTCACTCAGGCATAAATGATTAGTGAATAGAAGCCATAATTTATGGTTTAATGCAAAACTAAATTAGAACAATTAATTAGATCGACTCAAAGCAAGAAAATGACCAGTAAATAACAATAAACCATGATACTAACACAGCATATTCCATCAGAAGGAAAAAAAATTTTGGTGTGCATTTTGGTTTGAACTTTGGCGTTTGGTTTGAACAAAAAATATTCTGGTAGCAGAATATTGGTTAGAAGAAAGCTGCTAGTTAAGTGTGATCAATATGATTTAGTTACAGTACCCGGTATCTGAATGCTAACAAGATTAATTTAACAAATATTGGCTAAATGAAGAAATCATTTTGTTCAACACTCACTAACACAATCAACATTTCTGCTTTCCAAGCCTTTGTATTTGTTCTGCCAGTGGTGAAAAGTTACAAAAGGTAAACCTGGTATTAGATTCGTGTGCTGTAATGTAAAGCTCTAACTCGCCTCACTGTTCAGGTGATTTCATTTCTTACTGAGCTACAATAAGTACAAAAAAATTATAATAAAAATTTGTGTTAGTATTTGATGGGAGACTGAACTACAATTTTCCTGATCCCAAAGGGATGAATAAAGTTTCTATCCATCTATCTAAAGAAACAGGTCTTAAAGGGAAAGCTGATAGGTTCATAGCAATTGTGATTACACTCGAGCCTCAGATGACTCAATAAGTCACCAAACGTTAAATGGATGGACTTTAATGTGTTTGTTTTCTTTGCATTGATGTAGCTTTACAGGCCACAGGGCAGCTGCATTTGGAGATGTCTGTCGCGTTTATACAACAACTCGGTCCTTTGCTGGGATGACTCCCCTTTGAATGTTTAACCGCTTCTTCCAGGGACTTCCTGGTTATCAGGAGCCTCACCACGTCTTCCCTCTTCTTGGTCAGTTTTTTACGAGCCTGGTCGTGAGTCACCATGGTCATATCCCAGCCGTTCACCTGCCAGGAAGGAGGATAGTCTTTTCAAGGTTCAGTCCAGGATAAGCAATAAAACTTGCAGCTTTTGTTGTATTTTTTACAGCTCCCTACTCGCACTTTAAAGTGCCAAACAGCGCCATCTTGTGGCTTTCGCATCCAATGACGAGAGTTGTTACTACCCACCTGCATGATTTTGTCTCCTATCCGCAAATCTGCGACTTCTGCTGGTCCTCCTGGAGTTATCCTGGTCACATAGATTCCCTGCAGACCACACACTTCTATTACACACATTGCTAAATACAGATAATATTTTCTCTTCTATTTGTGTATTAAGGTTTTTGAGTATTTACTCAAATGCTGTAGTGCATCTTGAATACTGAAGTAACTGGAGTAGCTCATGTCATATTGACTCTTGCTTTACTTTCAGTTCACAATCTAAGATTAAGCAGTCGCTCTTCTAAAATAACAAAGATTATTATACAGAGATTATTGCGATAATTAAGCTTTTTCTGACATAGCATTAATGTACACTCCGACTTCACTGTGTACTTCTGGGCAGCTAGCTGAAAGACAAATTTAATTATTTGGAAATATTTCCAGTTGCACAAAAACATGGAGCGTGCATTGAAATCACTACATTTATCCGTCAATAATGCCTGATGTTTTATTATCTGTTAATCACAATAAACATATCATCTAAATCAGAATCTTTTTAATCTTCCAGCCAAAATCAGTTAAAAAGGTGCAATGATAACAGAAACACAAACAAAAATACAATAAATTCATTTTATCTTTTCTTCTTCTTCTCTTTGTAGCACAAACATACTTCTACCATAATTATGCATGTTAATTTGTTGGGTTCTAGAAAAGGATCTCTTGTTGTTGTTGTTGACTCGCAACATGGAAACTGATTCCAGGAAGCACTATTTTAGTTTCCTAAAATAAGGAATAAACATCTTTTCAGTTTTGAGTGAAAACATATTGATCATGATGTACATGTTTGATTAGAAGTTTTGTTTGATAAATCTGAGATATTTTTACTTAAGGTTTTTATGATGTGATGCATGCATTGAAATTACTACATTTACCATACAGCGGACTGTACTGCTTAATTATTATTTTAAAAAATATGTGTTTCAAGTTAAGACAAGGGAATTTTTAATTTTTTTATTTTTACATGTTGGTGCTGCAAACATCTTTGGAAAATCCTAATTCCATCTCACTTCTCCTGTTTGTGTTTTTATCATCTGAGAGTTTATTTCACTAGGGACAGGGAAGCTGGTCAGAGACGATGAGAGGATGTTGGAGCTAATAATCTAAAACACACGGTCAGACCTACAATTTCAATTCAAATATATTCATGTGTTAAAATGGTCTAATCAAAGTCCAGACCTAGGCCTAATTGAGAATCTGTGGCAAGACTCGAAAAATGATGTGTGAATGTGACAATAAACAAATGTTTCAGATTCCAGAGGTGAGCAGATGATAAAGACTAAAAGACTCGTAGCTGTAATGGTTGTTTTTTTTGTTGTTGTTGTTTTTTGGTTTAGAAAGCACTGGAGGTACAGACACTTTATCTTAAAATACAGACAGAAACCTCCAAGAGCCCCAGCCGATTGAGAGTTAAAGTTATCATTCATCTGTAATATGATAAGTGGAAACACATGACTTGTTCTCAAACACTTCCACAGAGTTTATGCAATAATCAGACAGTACATGAGTCTCCATAAACCTAGAGTATGTCTTTCTGTTACTCACATATTTGGGTCTGGCTTGTTCTCACATGAGGCCACGAACAATGTGTTCAGGCCTGTACTTTTCTTACAGCTCACCGGTATATGCCGAGTTAAATAACAATTTATTGCCTTTCCTATTCCTCTGCAGCATAAAAGAATATGCATCTTAGTTTAACTCAAAGTGAAAGAGCTATTAGAAGAAACAGACAGAAGATATGAGTGCTTAGATGTTTGTTTTCTGACCTTATCCGATTTGTCCTCAGAGAAGGGGTTCTGCCCCGGGTCCTGGTCGATACCGCCTCCGATGCTGAAGCCCAGAATCAGGTTGTCTCCTTGGCGCAGCTTCTGGATTTCAATTCTTTGCTGTTAGAAAACAACCAAACAAAATCAGATATTAAGCAAAAACATTCAGTATAAGCCATTGACTTGCTGGAATCTGTTCTCCACCTTTGAAATCTTTACGAGTGATCTGGCATTGTTGCACAACTGTGTCATTACTGGGCTGTTCACACATGAGGCTAGCATAAGTCAGCACAAATTGCAGCTGTGCCAGTTTTTTTTTTTTCCTGCCGCTACAAAGAAATGTTTGTGCAAAATAAAACTTGATGCTAATTAAATCATTCAATATTCCTACATCATCAGGGAGCATCTTCACAACATAAGAGTTGATTTTGAGACATTTTCTGCCAACTCAAGCCAAAAAAAGATGGAAGATGGATTAATAAGTTCCCTGTAGAGTGACAATCAGCTGCAGACGGATGGATGGCTCCAACACTAAGGCCGCCTGTGTGTGGGGTGACGAATAGCCGCCGAGTCTCTCTAATACAATGAAGTCTAGAGATGACTTCACTGACGCTGTCGATCAGCCAATGAGTCAGAATTTTCAGATGAAAAGTTTCTCCTTTTTAGAGCCTTGCAACCATGGGCAACAACAGCAAATAGAAGAAAACATGCAGTTGCAGAAAGAAAGACAGATGTGTGTTGCAGCTTATAAATTGGAAATGGTGACCAGAAGACACCAGCGCACCAAAACAACTAGAACTGTGGGGAAAAAAAAAAAGCTGGACAACAATGAAAGTTTATAATGCCACCATGCACTATGAGCAGGACGGTAACGGGAAGAAAAGCTTCAAAACTAACTATAATTAGAAGCCACCTTCTTGAGAGCTGGTTGGTTGTTCAGCAAGCAAGACTAAAACATTTAGAGTTTTCTAAACTCTTCTGGGTCTCTAGCTGGAACTGGTCAGATGAACCTCGGATCAAACCTGTCAGAAAACTAACAAAAAACAGATTACTGCTTGATTGTTGAGCAGGAACAATTAACAGAGTAATAATCACGCACCAGACTAGAAAAGGACCAAAAATATCAAGCTTATTAAAAAAAGAAAAGAGGTGAGCTTAGGAAAAGATGAACAGGAATTTGCTAAAAAAAAAAAAAAAAAAAAAGACATTTGAATTGGAAAGGGAAGAAAAATGAATTATTCAGTAATAATGATAATTTTTTTTTTTTTTTAAACTCTATCGGCTTTGACAAAACAACCAAATCTATATTATTGTCATATAAATATCAGAGGCTGGGACTGCCTCGTGGTCTTGCAGCAATAGGTTGTTGGTTCGAGTCTCACATGTTCTTCTCGTCCAATAACTGCTGGAAAAGGCACCAGCCCCCAAAAACCCTGCAGGGGAAAGCGGGTGAAAACAATGGATCCATGGATATCACATAATAATTCAGGGCTTTTTTTGTTCTACAAAGAAAAAAGCTAAACACGTGTTAGAATAAGACCAAGATTGTACATTTTATTTTTATTTTAACCAATTCTCGAGTCATTTCATCACTTTAATGTTAGGAAAAAATGGGAAATAAAAGTAAGTCCGTAAATTAAACACAGAGGGAACCAGTGCAGTGAGTAGTTCATGCCGATCTTCCTAGTTTGCGATGCAGTCGGAATAAACCCAGAAATGTAAAAACAAGGGATTTAAAATCAATAAAAATAAAAAAAATACAGTTTTGTTGCGTTCACGGACCAGGAGGAACTCGCACACCTAGCGGGTGACGCCCCTGTCAGGACATTTTCACACTGTGTGAAAATAACAACTGTACAGAAATACAACTAAAAATCGACTAACATCTTAGATAACTAGAATTGTGTGGCTGAATGTAAATGAGTGAACTAATATTTAAACTGAAACAAATGTTTCCATTTCCACCAAACAAAGAAAACACTAACACGGTGAACGAGAAGGTCACTTCGCGCTTATGTTTAAACATTTCCACCGAGTTTAATTACCGAGTTACCGGCAGTGTTGGCCGAGAAGACGAACAATAGCGACCAGTTCAATGAAACACAGTCGCTCTCCTAAACTTACCACGACTGCAGTCACTGGTTGACCAGGAACAAACGACATCTTTCAGCTGTGATTTAACAAAAATAAAAAATAAATTAAATTAATTCTTTTTTTAAAAGAAACGAGCCGCCGAGGAATGTTTAACAAAAGCTTTGGTAAAAGTGTTCAAAATGTGTTTTGAGTGAATAATCAACTTCCACACGAGTTACTGCTGGGCTGATCCCGAGCTGAAAAACAGCGTCTTCCCAGATGACGTAATCTCGCCTCCCAGCGAACTCGGATGTGCGTGTTTCATTCACCCGGACAGCCAGGGAGGGGCGGTGTTAAACGGCTGCCCGCTGCCCTTTTACCTCCAGACATTCCTTGCCGCGTCAGAGAGAGAGGAATGATGAATGTCCTTAAACGGACAGAAGGGCTGAGCCTCTAAAAACAAAACCATACTCCTTCAGTCGTCAAAGTTCTGCTTTTGACTATAATATGAAGTAATCCTATTATCCAGTTATAGTGTATTATTGTTAATATAATAATTATTATTGCTCAATGAATTAACAAAAAGTCAGAATAACTCCCTGTGGATCACATGCTATGAAACTGTTTTCAAAATCACATAATCTGTGTCTTTATTTAACTTTTAATAAGAACATGTACATGTCATACAGACACTAATAACTGTATAACTTTCCTTACTATAAAAAAAGAAAAAAACTCTTCCCCAGAGATGGTCAAAGAATTTATGCAGGACTTGTGCCCCAGTTCCAGCTGTCAATCTCTCCTCCCAACATTAACAGTTTATGTATGTTTTCAATTATCAAATATGATATGTTTTATTATGAGGAGCAATGACATTTGGGAAGGGACTAGCATCCATCATCTTGGATGTTGCTGCATAACCCTTGTATCTTCATCGTTTTGCACTATTGTACTTGCTTCCATGTTTGCATGGTGTTCATGCGCACACATCTATTTGTGTTTGTATCTTAGAGTGCACAGATGCATACCCTAACGGTAAACTGTGTGCGTAATCACATGGGAGCTGAACACCTCCCCACAGTAAGCCTTTTATATATCCAGGCCTACTGTGAAGTTGCTAATATAATTACAGTGTTTTGTGTGTGTGTGTGGTGTGTGTGTGTGTGTGTGTGGTGTGTGTGTGTGTGCGTGTGTGTGTGTGTGTGTGTGTGTGTGTGTGTGTGTGTGTGTGTGTGTGTGTGTGTGTGTGTGTGTGTGTGTGTGTGTGTGTAAAATTCTCAAATTCTAAAAATAGTCAATCTGCCCAGTAAAATATTGTATAATGAAATTTTGTCAAAAACATATTCTATGATAAGCCTCTATTCTTGTAAATCCATCTTTAAATTTAGCTGGTTCTGTTCTTCCGAGCTTGATGATGTATGTAGAACATGTGCTTCCTATTAAACAGGAATGCAGTGCTCTGATCTGTCTTGAAAAATTTAATCTACAAGATCTACAACTCTGGCAGGGACAAAACACCAGAGCGTGTGCTGAAAGGCTCTTTGTGTTTAAAAATTAATCACCTACTACACAGGATTTGCAAATACTGCAATGTGCATCTCTTAAAGTGCTTTATTTGAGTCATTTAATGATATTACATCCATATTCAAAAGTATAAATGTGACATAACATGTTTTGCATCCATTAAAGTCTGCATTGAATATACATTAGAAAGTTACAGGGGTACATATTATACATTATACATTTTTCATTGAAAACTGTTTGCAACAACTGTTTTAACTCACTTTATATGACCAGTATTCATTTTCTCTCTTTCAATTGCACCTTTTTGATAACAGATGTTGTCAAATGCATCACCCATTTGTCTGCTGTAGCACTCAGTAACATTTTTTTCTTAAGTTTTCTTTGCAGGGATCTGTTACTTCATTGAAGTGTAAAACATTTATGGAAAGTTAATGCCTAACGGATAAAAACTGCAGCAGGCTACCTGTATTTACATGTATTGCTTTGTTGTCACAAAAAATAATTCCAACAATGTAACAATGAATCTGACCCTGTCTGAACGGAACAAAAATAATCTTTTAAAAGCCAAATTAGATCTGGATTAATCTGGATCGACAATATGTCACAGTTTCTACTTTGCCTCAGGGTAGTTGCTCATTTTTTTTCACAGGTTTTGTCAAATTAAAAACTGAAAACATTAAGCAGGTTTAACATCTCGATCAAGATGAACAAACAGGCTAATTTATTATTTTTTAAGGTTGACCTAAAAGTTATATATGCACTTAGCACAATGCCAGACAAATGAGCTTGCTTTGAGCTCAAAGGATGAATATGTTGAGCAGTTTTAAGTCCTCATGAAATATACAAGAACACCGGTCCTATCTGACCTGTCAACTGAACCCGCATTTTATTCATTCCCTTTCTACACATCACAAATTTGTCGTCAAGATTTCTTGATCCGGTGATTTCTCCTTGCTATCTACTGATGGGCTTGCAGTGTAATTCACAACACAGTCAATAGCGGGAGCTGTAAAATGAATGCCAGTATCTCAGTAGCCTGGAGCAAAAGGTGGAGGTGATCTGTACTCCTGAGGTAGCATTTGATTGTTTAGTCTCACATCTGTGTGGTGCTGAGGGGGACCACGAAATGTGAGCTCTCCTGTGATTTCCTGGTATTCGTTTTCCATGACTGCGCTGCTGTTATTTGGCCCGTCAGTAATCTCTGCATAGACGTTTTCCTGTGGGTTGCTCATCTTCTTCTGGAATTTCTTCTTGATGCTCTTTAGGTTCACAGCGACTAATGGCATCAGATTCTGTGACTTCACTGGCTGGTTGTTGGTGAAGAGTTTTCTCTCGGTGGCTGTCGGCGTAGAGGAGCTGTCAGACACCAAGGTTGTTGTTGTGCCGCAGACAAGGTTTTGCTTTTGGACAACATGATTCCTCAAAGGGACCTCAGGAGGCTGGATCCATGGAGAGCTTTTCCTCATATTTGGTGCTGGCTGCAGGTCAGAAACATAAAACACAGGGCACATGGATTTAGATTTGAAAATCTCATTTATGTCTCTAAAACATGGAGTGCAATAAGGTGGAGATCAATATCTGAGGTTCAAGGTAGAAAAACAGTCAAAATCACTTCATTGCATCTGCGAAAAATGCAATAGTGGATAATCAGTGGGCCACGAACTGTGGTGTTTGGTTGTTTTAATTTTTGAGAGGAACAGAAGCATGAAGGTGCGCATTAATCTCCTACATCTAACTCAGCATGCATGTTTTGTGAAGCCAGAGTCCTTGCATGCAAGGTGAGAACATAAAAACATCCCAAAGAAAAGCCCCAGCTGGAAGTCAAACCCAAGTTGAGGCAGTAATGTTAATAACCTCAGCACCCTGCAGCTCAAAACTGCTTTTTGCAGACATATCTGGCTTTGTAACTAATGTTGAAATGCTGGGTTATTTGTGAAAAGACTTGTCCATTACATTGTCTGGAATCAAAACTCAGACTAATTTCAACTGTGCTAAATCTGTGCTGGCTTGTACAATATGTGACACATCCTCAGCAAAGTAAGAAAGAAAAATCTGTGAAAAAAGAAAGATATTAAAAAGTAAGAAATGTGAATCAAAAATGTATACATAAACATTCTTCTTGAAGCAACAAAACTGTTTTCATCCAGGCAGTTTGACCGCAAAACAGTCTTTTCTTGTCACATTACCGAAGCAGGAAGAGGAGAGGTGAAGTGTTGGAAATCTTCCTCCAAACTAGGGTAGAGTCTGTTTGGTTGGCTGTTTGGGAGAAAGAGTGCAGAGTTCCTCAGGTTGTTGGGACGATAAGGAAGGGCGGGTGGGAGCTCGTCCGCTTGTTGTGGTTGACTCGGGTTGGGCTGCCGGAGGTTACTGGGTAGCACACTGGTGGAGTAACTTCGGGGTCTTTGGGAGAACAGTAGTTCTGCATAGTCTATAGAGTTAGCTGATGACTAAAATGAGATGAGACACATCAGGCACTGATTCACTTCTGGACTTAATTCAACTTGCACACAATTGTTTGCCATTTTTTTATTAAGATGTTTTGCAGTATTCATCAAAACCGTATCAATTTTGAGGATGCAAATCCGTATCAGAAGAGACATTTATGTTCTTACCTGTCCACAAGCAACAGTTAGCACCTGATTGAAAGGCAGGATGGGATTCCGGCGATGAAAGTCCACCAGGTCCTGCAGACTCCTGTGAGTCCTGTTCTCGCCTATTATGATGTACTGGCCGTCCTCCAGGACATCAATCATGAAATGTCTGCAGTGTTCGTCTTCACTGAGGTAGGCCCACACAACAGAGTGATGACTTTGACCTCTTACTCAAACGGCACAACAAAGCTGTGAACACTCACCGATATGAGAGGGTGTAGCCAACTCTGCTCTCGCTGACTCTGATGAGGAAGTAGCCAGGCGGCTTCAATGTGAGCCGTTCTTCAGCTGTCCTACACAAATCAGTAGAAACAAAGGCCTCTTTCACACATGCGCTTTCAGCTGGAAATGCGCCACTAAGGCATTTTCAATTCTTTAGTAGCCACAGAAAAAATATCTCACACAATAAAATATTCTCTCGTTCACAAATTATGGGAAATAAACTGTCCAGAATAATAACTGAATACAGAAAGACTGTATTTGTTTTGTTTTGCTTCGAGAAAAGATTTCTTTGAGAATTGTACGTATCCCAAAGTTGTTGTCAATACAGTCATTAACTTAACCCATCGTCTATCGTTTAAATTGGATATGGGCAAATCTGTTGAGTGTGAAAGATTAATAATTTATAGCACAAGTAAAGGTCAGGTCTGAGTAAAACTGCAGCAAAGCTGTAGCAAAGAGAACTATTGTTTTTTAAATAGATCAAGCAACAGATGTTCTTCTTTCAATTTGCAAACAATCACAGTTCACTTTTATGCTGCACGTACTATAGGGCCGCTGAACAATGAAAGGAACTACTGAGAAATAAAACGAATGACAGAAATGTTGCTGTGCAGTTCTGCATCTTTCTCTTGCTGATTCTGTTGATTTCTGCTTTGTCTGAAACTATAAATACCAATACCAGTGGGAGTCACGTCTGCAGATGCAGTTATAGGAAGAAGTAGATGTACACAACGTACTGACTGAAAGCCAGATGCACATTATGACTTTCTAGTAAAAATCAATTTGCTTTTCAGCTGGTGATTACCTGCACAGTTGCAGCAGGAGGAAACGTCTGCTGGCGGAAATGTTTTGTCACGTCACATCCAACAACTTCAATGCATTTTAATGCAATTTTATATGTTGTTTTCTTATCTTTTGTTCCGCTAAAGGATTGTTCTGTATTTCACTCCATTCCTTTTTCCTTCTGAAGAAAACCACCCCCTACCATAATGCTGCCACCACCATGTTTCACTGTGAGGATGGTATGGTAGTTTTAAAGTGGCACTATGTGAATAAATATTAGCATCTATACAGGGCCACGCTCACCATTTATTTCCTTTTCAGTACTTGGAGAAGATTCAAAGCTTGAAGTTTTAAGCAAAAGTTTTATTAATTGGTCTCTTTGCATCTTCTGTTTTTTAGCTTTCTTTAAAAGTTGTATGTTTTGTATTTGACTGTTTTCAAGAAACTCATTAAAGCAACTTTAAAATAGCTTGCATTAGTCAGCTATTTTGAGCTTGCTAAAACAATCACTGCATCTTGTGACACTGACATCATTCCTGTGTCTGATTTGTAAAAGCCCAGCTCTCTCCTGTGCATTCCTGCTGCCGCAGTGGCAGATGGCAGATGACAGATGGTGATAGACTTTGAAAGCTTACTTCCTCGTAATGGTCCCATGAAACCAATCTGGAACCGAGCCGTTCCCGAACACAGACCGCAGCTGGGACTCTGTGAACCAGGTAAAAGGATCCTTTTGACCCTGGGTCGGCTGACTCCACTCCATCGTCCTGACAGAATAAACACATCATCTAGTTTACTTCTTTCACTGACTCCTTACATTAGATATTTGTTCACAGTGTTCATTAAACCACTCATTACCCTTCTCAGTATTCGTCGTTCCTTTTTTAGGAAGTGTTTTCATGAAATGCACTGAGGACCTTTTTCCTCCATAAGACTTTTCTCAAAAGCAAACTTTAATTTCTAACTATTTTCCATTCAAACCAAAGAAAACAAGCTGCTTTCAAAGAGTAAAATAGAACTCTGCGATAGTTGACGACAATGAAGATTCACGGCAGCTCTTTTTGCTGCGTAAATCTAAGCTCAGAGCAACACAAATGTGACTCACCTTCTCTGATAGCTTCAGGGTGAAATGACGCTGCAGAACTCAGTCACCTGTCAACACCTGCGTGGGGGCGGAGGCAAAGTCTTCCCGTGACAGCAGCACATTCACTCAAACATATTTGGAAGACTGCATTTGCAAAATATTTGCAAATGTGTCCTTTCTTCTTCTTTTTTTTTTTTTTTTACATTTTTGTTGTGGTACAACAGATCGACTGATATTCTGAATAATATGGAAGTAGAGGAAAAATTCTAAATGTTTTCAATGTGTTGAGTCCATGAATATTTTCCTCTGCTGAGTCAATACTTTTAGAATTAGGATTTGCTACACATATTTTGGGAGGAGTCGTGTTTGTATCAGTTTTCTCACATATACAATGTGATGCTTTGAATAAAAGCTGAAGTTTGGTCTTTTTTGAAGGAAGAGTGTCTGTGAACATCAATTTATGAAATCTTACCGTTGTCCTGCTGGAAGACGAATCTCTGTCAAAATCTCCAGGGTTTTGCAGCTTTCAACAGGTTTTCTTCTTCCATTCATCTCTCCTATGACCTTTGACCAGTCTGCAGAAAAGCAACCCAACAGCAGGATGGATACTTGCACCACTTTGCTTCACAGTTTTTGAGGCTGATATTTGATATCAGTTTTCCACACACCATTTTGTTTGTTGGGCAAAAGTTCAAGTTTGGGCTCATCTTACTAGAGCACCTTGCAATGGATGTTGCTCCGTTCCATATGCGGCTTATATCTTATCGCAAATGGGATTTCATTTGTCTTTCTTCCACAACAGTTTTCTTCTTGTTGTTCTTCCCTGAAGGCCAGATTTGTGACGTGCATAACTTGCTGCCCCCTTATCAAATTTCCCCTCTAGAACCATAGATCACTGCTGGCCCTCCCAAGGCACCACAAGCCTCTTGGCTGCTTTTCTGATTAATGCTCTCCTTGCATCGCCTCTCAGTTTAAGAGGGCTGCAGATGTACCATCTTCTTTCAGTTTCAGTATAATAGATTTAATAGTACTTTGTGAGATGCTCAAAGTTTAAGAAACTGTTGCATGACTTCACACTGCTGTTAAACAACTTTATCCCTGACCCGTCTGCTGTGTTACTTGGTATAAATGATGTCTTGTTTTCCGAGTGTAATGTCCTCCAACCCCCAATCCTTTCACTGTACAACAGTATTATTATTATTATTGAGTTTGACTTACACTCAGGCTGACTCTATCCAACAATTTATTGATGCCATAAGGCAGCTGATTATAGTGAATTTTATTTATGGGCATCAGAGCAAAGGGGCTGACTATAAGTACATGCCACAACTTTGAGAACTTTACTCATATAATGTAAAAATCCAAATTGGTATCCAAATCCAAAATCCAAATTCAGTTCCACAATTATGAACTGCCCACACATCTCTAGAGCATCCAGTGATGTTTTAATGCCACACATTGTTTTGAAAAAGTTCAAAGTGGGTGTAAATACTTTTACAGTGCACCTTTTGTATCCAGATGTCTGATGCTTGGTCTATCAGAGGGTTAAATCACCTCGAAATGGGATTTCTATTTCTGTGGAAGCAGATGTTCTCATGTGTTTAAGATTATGAGGGGAAAAACAATAATTGAGTGGCTCATGACTTGACTTTCACTCCTGTCAGTATTATATAACTTAACTTATAACTTATATAACTCAAGTCTACAAAGATAAGAGGTTATGTGAGTGTTTTTAATTTAGTATTCCAGTAAATCTTCAGAGTCTTTTTTTTTCTGAATCGAAACTTGGACAATGACCCTGAAGCTGCAATAAAGCAAAGATCCATCACGCACTGTAGCCTGAGTTGTATCGGTCTTCATTTATTGTTCTGGCTTGTGATATCAGAACAAGCTGGTTTTTGTGCAAATCTTAAAGCTCAGGTCTGACAGATGACACACAAAACGTCACCTTTTGCTATTTTCAGTTTGAAACTTCTTGGATTTAATACAAAAGAAAATGAACCATCCCTACAAGCACTACCAGGAGAGGCTTTGTGGAAGGCGATAAAATCCCAGTCAACAAACGAATTGGTCTGCTGTGTGCGTTCAGTGACAAATTAACAGCTTTATGATCTGATTCACTGAACTTCCACAGAGGCATTTCAGAACGGCCCTCCAACATGACAAGTGACTCATGTGATGCCTGAATAAAGGTCAAAGCACACTGATTTCCCTCTGTGACTGTAAAACAGAAGCGATGGATGCCACGGAAGTATTTTTTTGAGAACTCTTCTCTATTTGCATGCAAATGCACTCTTCGCAAGCATTCACATGTGTTTCCACAAAAGAAAGGGAGCCATTTTATTTGATAGATTGAGCTGTGTTTTTTTACATGAATGTAGGGGGAAAGCAAATAAAAGCTCTGTTGTAACCTGGTATTTGTCACTTTGTGGTCTCCCTTCACATCACTGTCCTGCACAAGCAGTTAACATATTTTAAACGAAACAATTGCAGGCTGCAACTTATAAAACACACGTGACCTACTTGCAGGAAGAGGAAGTGTATGACTGGGCAGTTTTTTTTTTTGTTAGATTAGTTATGGATGTGCACAAGAGGTCATTCTGTGTGTGAAGGTCTCCTTTCAGAAAGCCTGTGTTTATTCAGACAGCTTGCCACCATCTGCCAGATAGAATATTAACTATTTTCATAGCACAGCACAGAAATGAAAGTGTGGCTGTCAGCAGTAATGCAGAAAATTTGCAATACAAAAGTGAAAGTTACGTGTTGCGAAACATTACATTTTATCAAACTCATGCTGTGAGAGCAGTTAGGATTTGCTCCAAAAGTGGTCAAACGCTTTACTGCAGAATTTGAAATAACAAAGCTTTGTTAAAAAGTATGCTTTGATGCTTAACTGGGAATCCAATTATGTTCATTCACGCACAGTATACACAGAAAAACACTAAAGCACCTCCCACGACAAATCAAGGCACCAAAGGCGCCTTGAGAATGGATAATATAAAAACAAGTCCTAAATAGAACAAATGGAATCAAAATTTGCACACAGAAGTATTTACCATTTGAAAAAAAAAATCTTTCAAAGTAGTTTGAACTAGTGTAAGATGTAGATTTTTATTAATTGCACATGTTTTGTGCAGAATATGTATTAGAACAAATTCTTATTATGTTGTCTTTAATAGTCCATCAGGGTAGTTTTATTTACTGTGGAACATATAGTATGAGATTAAAGTGAGAACAACTGTGTGAAATATTTAAATGACATTTTCCCTCTTGAAAACTAAAAACTTTATAAACTGACAAATTAGTGTTTAAAATCTTTAATATTTGCACAAAACCAAGAAATTAACAGTGCAGAAGGATAAAAAAAATTCAAACTCTACACATTCCTCAGTTGTTGAGCCTTTATAAGGTTATGAGGTTCTGATGGGGCCTTCACAAGCTGTCAGGAGGTCAGAGGTTCAGCTCCCCTTGGAAAGGTTGCCTGGGCATCATCACACAGAAAATCAACTATGAACGAATGGACTTTTATCTAGAAGCAATTCAGAGTACTAAATTAACCTGGCATGCATGATTTTCATCTGTTGGAGGAAGTGTGAGTACCTGGAGGAACCGGCACACGCACTTTCAAATGTGAACCCAAATGAAAAGTGAACCATTAAGTAGTCTGTTTCTCACTCTGCCATGTTACAACTACAAGCTTCTCACAAAATTGTAAATAGTAAACCCAAAGTGTCACATAAAAGTGAAGTGTAAGGAAAATGTTACATGGTTTTCTTTCTTTTTTTAACAAGTAGGACTATTTAAAGATCTTCAAAAAATGGCATTGACATTTACATTCAGCCTATCTAACTCTGGTATCCCTGACAAAAAATAAAATTTAATATCAGTATAAAGATTGTTGAGAGGCCTCACAGATTTACTGGAGAAAAATAACAAAGAAAATAGCATCACAATGATCGAGGGACGTAGGGATAAAGTTTAAAGCACACTTAAGTAATTAAGCAAAATCTCAAGTTTACCATGACTTTATTGTCCACCAGAACTGACAGGCAGCTCAGAGTAACTCTACCAAATGCTACGCTCTCCACAAATATGACCTCTATGGAAAAAGGAGCAGAAAGATATAATGGATATAGAAGCAATAGAAAATCCTGTTTCCTGTTTGCTCGAAGACATTTAAGAAAGTCAGATGAGACCAAAATTAGATCTTTTTGTCGACATGCAAAATGCAAAAACTAACATTGCAGATCACCCTTAGCATCTCAACCAACGGAGCTCAACACAGAACAATCCAGGAGGCTCCACAAGCCTCGAGACTGAGGCAAGAACTTACTTTTCACCAGTACAAGACTAAAACACACAGCCAGAGCTACAATGGAGTGGCTTATCTCTAACAATATTCTTGTGTTAGATTAGTCCCATCAAAACTCAGCACTAAATCCATTTTATAATCTGTGGATAGGATATGGAAATGCAGCAAAAAGCGGTTGTGACATTTATGGAGTTTGCGTTCAAATTTGAATCAAACTTGATGTTTGAAAGCCAGCATGTTTTCTTCAGCAAAAACAAACATGGATGTTGTGCTGATAATTGATTAAAATCTAATAAAAATACATTTATGTGACAAAACTTGGAACGGATTTACTGTATCCTAATTGATTTTGTGTATGTTGTCCTTGAAAAAAATTCAAAACATCTCCAGGTAAAATGTAATGAAATTCAAGGTAAAAACACAAGCAAGTTGCGCAACCCAGTCCTAGTAAAGTACTTTTTTCAATCATTTTGAATGCGGAGATTGACCTGTATCCAACCGATCACGTTCCTTACTT